AATGAAATAAGGGCCTTAACTCAGATACGACACCGAAACATTGTGAAGTTTCTTGGCTTTTGTTCAAGTGCCCATCACTCATTTTTGGTCTATGAGTATTTGGAAACAGGTAGCTTGGCTGCAATCTTGAGCAACGAGAATGAAGCTAAAAAATTGGACTGGAGCACAAGGGTGAGAATTGTAAAAGGTGTTGCTCATGCGTTGTGTTATATGCATCATGATTGCTCACCACCAATTGTGCATCGAGACATAACAAGCAGCAACATTTTGCTGCACTGTGACTATGAGCCTTGTGTTTCGGACTTCGGGACTGCTAAGCTTTTGAATCCAGACTCGTCGAATTGGACTGCTCTTGCAGGCACATATGGATATGTAGCACCAGGTAAAATACTAAAATACAGAACTTTTCATTATAAAAAATTATTAATATTAAGTCCAGCTATAACTATATCGATGATTTGCTCTTCTGTCATTTGTATGCAGAGCTGGCTTACACAATGAAGGTAACTGAGAAATGTGATGTTTATAGCTTTGGAGTGCTGGCACTGGAAGTGATTATGGGAAAGCAGCTAGGCGATTTTGTCTCCTCCTTTCCGTTTCCATCCACCACCTATGCAAGCATATTGCTCAAGGATGTACTGGACCAACGCCTTCCCCCTCCAACACCTCAAGTTCTAGATGAACTCATAACCATTGCAAGGCTATCAATTGCATGCAGACATTCCCATCCACAATCCAGGCCAACAATGCATGTGGTTTGTCAGGTGTTATCGTTCCAAACGGCTTCTTCCTGTAGAGGACCAGACGATACTACACTTGAACAACTCATTAAGATCTGAATTGCGTGTGACAGATGAGTTTTGAACAAAAAGACCATCCTTGTATTTAAACATACTGTATTTCATATGAACGTTGGTTCCCATGTTTTAGGAAATCAGTTGGGCTCTACCTATTCAATAGGGGTGTTCTGGCTGTGGGATAAGTTTGTTAGTATTGATAGTAGTGGGAGACGTATGCTAGTATTGGTAGTAGTGGGATGTTTAGTTGTTACTTCTTTATCTTGAGTCAGTTATTTTGTACGTGTTATTTAAGCTGTGTTCAACAAAAGCTCTCTATCTCTTGTCGTTTGTGTTTCCTAAATTATCAACATCATCAAGTAATCAGTGTAAAATAGTTTTGCCATATTATCCTATTTATTACCACCTTATGGTAAGACAGATAACACGTAAATAAATGGTTAGATGGTTAGATATATAAGATTATCCCATTTATTACCACCTCTTATGCAAAATTCAGATCCCAAATTTTAATATCTTGGACAAAAGCTTGTGCTGAATTTATAATTTGCCAGACGCAGCTGGCTCAGTCCATAACGATGCAATCGATGCATTTGAATATGTTCTGCTCTACCAATTGGAGTTCATAACTAGCAATCTTTCAAATTTCAAGAAAGCCTGGCCCCAGCCTGAACCTTACCAGCCGCGACGACCCCTGGCCCTGGGCTGATATGGTGGCACTGGCTTGCCTTTACTAGGACTTGCTTACATTTGGGTTTATTTTGTCTGCCAGGTTAATATTCTTCATCTTCATAAACTCCCTAACCGTTCTCCTCTTCTGCAATGACAATAAAAAACTTGATTATTAATTGAAGAGAACGACAATCAAGCCAAGAATCCCACTATCTCA